AGCTTGTTCAGAGTTCCACGACGTCACCGCAAAATTAATTTGGAGTGGTCTCGAACGGGTCTATGACCAATGACCGCTTGTTGCTGCGGCTATGATTAAAGAACTTCATGTGTTTTGGGCTGAAAGCGTTCATTGCAGATAGGTTCCATTCCTGAGCAAAAGGCGAAGCGAGCGTCTTGACTTGTTGCAAAGGTTGAGCAAGGGCCTTTCGAAGGAGTCAGGTATGTTCTGCAGCTACTTCGACGCAGGGTTTGCAGCCTTTTTGCATTCTTCGCCCTCTATGTTGATGATGCCATCACTTCGCAACCTGCAATACCGGCTTTTGATCAGAAGAGGGAAAAGTACATGTTGCGATCCAACGACATGAGGGCCCATGAGGAGCCCCTTACCTTGTTCGCAGAGTCGTTCTTGGACTTGCTGGCTGAAGTGTCTGATCTGTGAAGTTGAGGACTTTTTTCCTCCAGATTCGCTGCCCAAAGCTTTCGTTGGGAAGCGTGGCTCTTTTATCATAGTGCCAACTGCGGCATCTGCAGTACAGTTTGTTTCAGGGTAAACGGTACTGTACATGACCGGCTTTCAAGCAATTTCTGAGACGTCACAAGGCCGCGTCGTCGCTAAGGTATTACGTAATATAGTTTTTGCTCTGCCAATTTGATGCAAGGTATGGTTTGCTATGGTTTGCTCAAGCTAAGCTGGGGTAAGCCACAGGCTCTGGCTGCACTGCTCCATAGAAAAGCAAAAGGAATCAAGAAATGTTCAGCCCAAACTGCAACTTCCTCGAACAGTGGGAGGTCTTTCTCAATAAAGTCTCACACACAATCTAAACCACCAAACAGCGTTGCTGTGGTCACATCCACCAGTGGCCACTGTGCCGACAGGAACTGCCATAGAAATCTACTACGAAGTTCCCAAGCGATCGCTAAGCAAATCGGCCAACGATTGTGCTTCGTCTTAACCAAAGGCGAGTCCGAAAATGTGTTCTCCTTTTTTTAGCCTGCTCCTACTTAAGAGAGAAGTGAGCTACTAGCAATAGGAAACTCCTAGCTAGGACGCAGGATAGCTCACGCTTCTTCAAGGAAGCTTGGAGAAGCGCTCGCACTGATGGTTTGGTTCCTAGATGTTGAGTTGCTACTGCACCATCAGCTGCAGTCTACCCCAACCACACGTGACGCAATGCAAACAAGAGAAGGACACATCACATTCTCACCAACAGAGACCGGTCAACCACATGGCCAGAAATCAAAACTGAAAACATAATAAAAGAACTCGCAAACTCGCGGTCAAAATCCAAGTCTGTCCTGCTGCTCCCGCGCACCAGACCAGCTGGGTACTTTGCAGCCTCAGTGTCAATCAAATGTCCACCTCCTACCAAACCAGTTTCAGCAGAGATAGGCACGTTCACTGCCAGCTTATCCAGTGCAGCTTTGGGAAGGTCGATGTGGCACTGGCATGGTCATAGCAGAGCAAGCAACACTGCTTTCAAGGACCCACACACACACACACAAATATATATATATATATTAAATGCACCGTGAGCATGGTGAGCTTAGATTGCTGCTTTCACGCGCCTTGTGGCTCAAGCGTATAAGGTAGAGCAATACGTCTGCAATTTCCTGCACAGAGTTGAATTAAGCGAGCAAGCAAGCTCCTCTGGAATGGTTCAGCTCAACTGCACTTGGTCTTCTTGCACTATCACTAGGCTTACTAGACTCTCTTTCAAGCAAAAAAACTGTCACTGCCAATCACCTGCCGCACCGCAGTCCGATGCTTGTCACTCCATCCAGGAAGCCCTTCTTCCACCTCTCACACTGCAGCTTGAGCATGCGGACTTTGTTTTGGTTGCCCGTTTGTGTTACGTCATAATATGTTTACGTGCAATCATACAAACACATTCATATTCCGCTTGCTGAGAAATGCCATTTTAGGCCTCGCCCTTCCATTGGAAGCACTCACATAGTTCTCCGACCTGTCCGAACACTCTAAAGGCAACCACACCTGATTGATACTGGGAAACGACGTCGCGAGCCTCACCCACCAGTGCCAGGGCAAGATTGCGGGGTTGGTGGAATTGGTCCTGCTAGCTCGGGCTGAGCGCGTTGGTGGGGCGGAGCTAAAAACACATGAAGCTTCCTTTTAAGTCGTAGTCCATGAGCAGTCCATGGTTTCAAAACGTTCCCCCTTTAAGAATTCCAGGTTTCTATGAAATCTGAAATGCTAAGTAGTTCCTCTCCATTGCTACGTTGCTAGCTTTGTCAAGCTCTTTAGTCGTGCATGAGTTGCTGTTGGCGCGTTGTGTTACTTAATTGAGCTTGTCAGGGGATTTGATTTGTACCTCTCATGGGTGCACATGGTGTAAAGCCAAACCTTCTCGAAATCAATTATATAACCCACTACAATCGCAAATCCGCTACGCACTCCCAACATTTCCCAACTACAATCTCAACATCTGAGCAGGAGTCCCAATCACGCTCTTTGGCAAATTCAGCTAGCTCTTGTCGGAGTTGTTCAAAGGAAATGCCTCAAGCACCAAAATGATGGTTTGCACCAGTGGTAGACTGCATGTGAACAACAAGCATGAAAAACAACATCTGTTGCTGTCAGAATTTTCACTGAGCTGCCTTCACTGAACTTTATGCCTGACGTCTCCTGAACAAACAGCCGGCGGTGACACAATATTGTGGAACATGTATACCTGGCAGAAGAGCCATTCAAATGTTTTTTCAAACTCAATAAGTTTACTAGAAACAGGTGCATCGCTACTAGTAACAAGTGCGTCGCTACTAGTAACAGGTGCATTCTTGAGCTAGAGTTCAAGACCTCCTCAGCTCCTTTGGACCTGCACACAGCAATCTGGCACCCAACAGAAGTTGCTGTCAGAAGTTCAGTGCACGTGGAGGAGATGTTTCCACCAAAAAAGCAATATAGTATATAATATAGTCGAATATCTATCTATCTATCTATCTATCTATCTATCTATCTATATGGTTGTAAGCTTGTCGGAAGACAAGTTGAGCATCCCTTGATGGAGCCTCGAGGCTTCTGACAGATTTTCGCCTGTCAAACTGCACAGGAACTAATTGAAAACAATAAATCAATAGAATCAAGACTTGCTGTGACTTCTGCAGGCAGGATGCCAACTCGCCGCCGCTTGGCCATGGTCTCAGCGTGAGAGACGCCTGTGAACGATCCAACTGTCCAAAAGCTCTCCAAATCGGACTCCTGGTAGTAAGGCCAGGAGCCCCTAGAAGCGTCCTTGCTCCTAGTAGCGATGCCCTTTGCTCCTACAGAACCGAAGCAACCTTTGCTCTACTTTGGCGTATCACTTTGCTAGACATTTGGCTGTTTCCCTGAGTATGGACTTGATCGAATATCCTTGCTTTTTTAAGCAAAACTGTAGCATGGATGTGTTTACACTTCTGCAGCCATCTTATTGAAAGCTCTGGCTCTCCTCATGTGCCTACCATCACATGTCAAAGCAAACCGCGTGCAAAAAAGCCTCTGCACCGAATCAAAGCATTGTGAGAAGGTGGGTCCCTGAATAGGCCGGAATTTCAGGACAACAATCCAGTTCCTGTCAAGTGGTTTCTTGCTCTTTCAAACTGCAATTGAACAATGCTCCATAATCTACAGCATCCATGAATCAAAATCTTAAGTCTTGGAGTGACGTCCTATGCGACGGTTCAAAGGTCCAACGCAATTTGGATAGCTTGGAACTTTAAGGTCGAGAAATGTTACTACTAGCGTCCTTGTTACTACTAGTAAGGCACTTGTTACTAGAAGCGATGCACTTGTTCCTAGTAGCTTCTTGCTACTATGAGAGAAATGTGACTTTAAATTGGAGGATCGTCCAAGATCTATTCGATGATTCAGGAATGATGATGAACCTGTGCCAGCCACAAGTGTCGTCGACATTAGCCGTTCCAATTGGAAGACTGTGGATTAAAGCCGAAGGTGTTGCTTTCAGTTTGTTCGCAAACTGAAAAAGGGAGTAATCATCAGTCCTACACTACCTTTAAAAAAGAGCAAATGTCTAAGCTACATGTGCTCGCCACTTGTCAAATCCAACCATGAAATAAAGGGAGGTTTACAAAGACTGGGAAACTTGGTCTCCTGCCTGAACTAATTTTATATAATGTGGAGAAGGTATGGACATGAAACCAAGGCAAGTTCTGCTCAAGACATCCTAACATCCGAGCGATCATCACACAACAAACCCAATGCCGGGTATCCCACGACAGGAACAGCATGCACATTCTGCCCACCTGCCCGGAAAGCCCGCTCGACAGCAGCCGCATCGACACCTGCTCCGAGATCCCTCAACGCAAAGTGCCAGGCTTTCACCCGTTCCTTTGCAATCTCCAATAAATAGAAGAAAGAAGAGATGAAACAAGGAAGGTAAGGCCCCTTACAGGGGCACGGCATTGCTTTCCTTGTCATCTGTTGATTCTGCCTTTACTTCTTGTCTCAATCTCAAAGGTCAACCATGATCACCCAAAAACCGAGTCAGTCGAGCTGCCTAGCTGCTTTGTAAGTGCGGCTATGACCTTCAGCGGTCGGAAAGGAAAGGACAAGGAGCAAGATGGCAAGGGCAGTCAAAACTAGAAGTGGTATTGTCTCGCCCAGACGAAATCCAATCATCGCTCATCAAATGTAGTGATGATGACTCGTAAACTGGACCTAAGACTCCTATAGACTCATCGAGGCCTCCCAGCATGTTCATCCTTTTCAAGAATGAGGAGCTCAGGCCACTTGTCTTGAACAGCAAACAATTAAGAAAAAATGTTTGTGCAAGCGGCGTTGCCTCGCTTGACGGATCACCTCAAAGATGCTCCGCGTGAAAAAGGATGAGCTGAAGAGACCGCAGCAATGACCAAGCTCCCTGCTCTCGCCATTGGAACTCATCTGTCGAATCCAGTCTACTCTGAACACACTGATCTGACGAATCAAGAGCCCGACTACTTGCATATAGTTTGTGCTGCGTAAGTTGTAATCAACTCAATGTGCGCATGAGAGCTGAAGCAAGTTTGAGCCAGTTCGCGCAAAATGTTACAGCACTCAAATTGTTTGCACTCATTCCAGATCGCGCTCATGGCGCAAGAGTTCCATGTCCAAAGACGCTGAGAGTAAAGCCACTATGGCAAAGTCTTCAAGATCCAAAGCTAGATATCTTCGCTGCAATACAGGTTCACATGCAATGCGGGGTTCCAATATTACCAAAACAACAACCTCATATGTCCATATAATCAACTTAAAAATAACTTGTTCCTGAATAGCGAGATGTCTGCACTCATCGGCATTTTCAGCGAAGCGCCTTGATTGCAACAGCAAGTCATAGAGACAAGACCTGTCAAACACATGTTGCCTCTCCTCTTCTGGAACATGAATCTTTGCTGTGGATGAAAAGACTCTCCTGCGCTCTAGGCTTAAATGATAAACTCAACCAGCAAAACCACAGGTAAGCGGGTTCTTTTCATTCAACGAATGTCGTGTTTTCCACGCCTCATAGCAAACCAATCGGCCATGATCTGCCCCCAGGATTCCTTGGCAAGAGAAGGCCATCTCCAGTGGATGTTTGACGCCTATGGAGAAGCAGTTCCTTGAGCAGTTCTGGGTGTCCGTTGAAATTACGGCGATCGAGTTGTAAGACCGTCAAAAACCTTCTGCCTTGAACTGTTCGGCTAAGAATTGCCTTATGACAAGTCATTATGACAAGTTGAGAATCAAAAAACACACTGGCGTAGCGATCTCAAGTAGGGTATCTATGTGAGTTATTAAGCTTCAAAAGAAAGAAGAAACTAGGACATCATTGAGGCTCAGGCTTCTTCAAGGGTCGACGTCTGATTCGGTAACCAAACAATCTGATTCGGTAACTAGGATTCGGTAACCGAAAGCACTGATTCGGTAACCAAAACGTCTGATTCGGTAACCAAAACCGCTGATTCGGTAACCAAATCCCGCTGATTCGGTAACCAAAACTGCAGATTCGGTAACCAAAACCGCTGACTCGGTAACCAAAACCGCTGATT